TGCTTGCGTTGTGGCCGAAACGTCGTGAGAATTATTTTATGATCTTTTATTTTGATTATTTTATTATTTTCCTTCTACGTGACTTTACCGAAAGAACCAAGAAGATTAGCTCCACTTATTACTGTGCTTCGTGTGCAACACATCCAGTTCCAGTTTTGGTTCTTAATTAAGACGTACTTTAAGTTATCCTTGCGGTTATACCATTTTTTGTCAGTGAACCAATAGTTATTGCATTTCTCCCGAAGAGAGTGGAGCAATATAAGAATAGGTGTTACCCTTTCTGGCAATAAAACAGTTGTGTTAAGATGTTAAAACACCAAACTGAAACCTTTTGCAAGGAATCATGTCTGCATTAATACTGGGAGGAACCACCTGGTTCCACCAGCCCACAGGGGATTATTGTGTCCGTCCGTCCTGCACCCAAAAATGGGAGGGGTGGGGCTGGGTGGAGAGGGGAGGGTGGGGAGGGGCTGGGTGGGGAGGGTGGGGCTGGGTGGGGGGTGGGAGGGGTGGGCCTGGGTGGGGAGGGGCTGATCACCCCGTAGTGCCCTTATAAAACTCAACGTTTAACCTACTCACGCCGGCTTGTGCCCGCCCTCACAGTCGGCCATATTTGCGGAATACACCACGCCGCCGTTGACCCTGGCCATTGACCGAGCAACCCAACGTTCCTACCAGCTCCCTCCGCAGAAATGTGTCCACATAAACATGTGGTGAACATGCAAACAAAAAACATGCTCTGACAGTATATGCATTGTCTTTGAAACTGATTGGTCCACAACAGACAGCTTTCTTTAGAACCTCGTCTCAAACGGCGTTAGACCAGAGGATGCCAAAAGGCGAACAGCACAAAGACAATGTCACTCTCAGGACATTGAGAACTCGGGGTGAGCAGCTCGGGGTGAGCCAGAAAGGGTAAACCCTATTCTTATATTGTGATACTGGCAAGAGAGATCCCATGATAGAGTGGAAGAATGCGGATGTCCAGAATAAACGCCTCATTCGAAACCCAAACATCGCACCCCCTGGCTTTGACACATCTCCAAGACACCGGCGTAACCATCAACCGCATCAGAACATCACCAGGCTGATTCGCACATCTCCTTCGTGAATAGAGAGTTAAAAGGACACAAGCCACCGTGCGACTGCGGGCATGCAACACAAACTACGGACCATCTAAGTAAACCACTGTGGGTCTGCGCTCCTTCAAAGGAGGAGGAACAGCAAAAACGACACCAAGCCTCTTCTGAAGCCCTCTCGTCGTCGTGGCTAGCTGACCTTGACATTGGCATTAAGCTCCCAAACATATTGCCAAAATCAAGATGGGATTATCTATACTCTTTGGTTCTTTCGGTAAAGTCACGTAGTTAGTTTCTAACTACCGAAAGAACCAAAGAATATAGATTCCTGCAGTCACGAAAGCTTCAAATCCAGATGGGGTTATCTGTCGTTCTCCCTCCTGTTAAGCGCTTACATTTAATCATAATCAATGTGAGCAGACCAAAGCAAAGGTACTGTCCGAAAGTAAGAGGTGAGTTTTGTGTAAGTGTTATTATGCAACGCGTATTGACACCGTGTGCGACCTAGCGCCGTTCAGCTTGACACCATTCGATAACATTCCCATACCACTCTTATTCTCTTACATATGTTGAACATTCATTTTCAGTTCCATTCTAGTGCCGCCAACATCATGCCATATATATTCGCTGTGGTTGCTGTTCAGGGAATCTACAAGCGCTAAGTTCTGGCCCTCGGTCGCGATCGTGACCACGGTTTGCACCCCATCGCCCCACAACTGTTCACTTACCGCAGCGCAGAGAAAAGAAAACACTGCACGGCGCCAGCGGGCAGACTCCGATAGAACAAAAATATATATCATTGCCCATTTTACGGAAAAAACAGGCAAAACTCATCTGTTTGTAAAACAGCCCTTCTAAAATGTGACTTGTTTGTTTATCACGTTAATGCGTCATATACTACCTTAGCTGAATCATACAAATGTAAGACTGCAAAAAAAAAACGGTGAGTCATGTGTTACTTTGCACATCCGAATCCCGTGTTATTCTTCGTGAAAAATAAACACACGCACATACACAGACACACACCGCGATGCGTTCAGCGTTTTCACGTGTCCACATTCCTGCTTGCATGCGAATAAACGTAAAAATAAAAACTGTCAACAACAAAAAAAACCTGTCACGTGTAAACCTCCAACCGTTACGACCCAAAAACAAACAGCGGTATCACCGCACCGTAACTCCACGTGGTGGGGCAGCCAAAGCGACGGGTTTGATGAAGAGGGGCCCCCGGAGGGATATAGGTAAGAGGGTCATCATCATCACCATTACCACTATCCATGGGCAGATAGCCCGTAGTAGCTGTCCGCTGCAACTTTTCGGAATTTGTTTCCGGTTTCCTCGGTCTTTGCGCCAATATGCTCCCAAGTGGTGGCCACATCTTTCTGGCACCAATCTCTCATCATGTCGTTGTCAAGCCATTCTCTGTTGGGGCTTCCTCTCTTTCTGGTTCATTTAAATTTTTCCCAAACAACAACAACACTTAAAATACTCTTTGGTTCTTTCAGTAAAGTCACGTGGGTAGAAAATAAAATAAATTCAATCACGACGTTTCGGGCGCAACACAAGCGTCCGTCATCAGGTGGGACAACCACAGCAAGAAACAATTGCTGAAGTGGGCAAAAGGGCTGCCGTGACAAGAGGCTATATAGGTAAGAGAGGGGGGAGGAGCAAGGGAGGAGAGATAGAGAGGGGGGGGGGTGTGGGGTAGGGGGAGTGGAGCGCTGCTAGACGGATGTTCCTGTTGTTGTCCACCCTACGTGTGTCCAAATAGTGCCAGTTTCCTTCTCATCACTGCCTGCATCAGGTCTTCTTCTATGACAAGGAGGTAGGTCCCATTGTATTCCTTGCACCAGGCCCCATACCAACCATGCTATGCCACTGGGGTCACCCTCCTACCGCCAGCACATGCAGCGAAACGTCGGTCATCGTGACCAATATTACGCGGCACAACCCGTAAACTAGATTGGAGGTGTGTGTAGCACAAGCGCGAAGACATATACGCAGCAGAATCTTGTTACGAATGATTGCAAGAAGGGGCCCTCGCTAGCAATAGTATGAGCGGATGATATTTGCCTCTCTCTATGTATAAATATATATTCCATCTTCATCAGCCGTGGTCAATCCACTGCTGGATGAGGTCTCCCCAAATCGCCAGCACCACGTCTCACGATCCTGCGATACAATAATTATGAAAATAATAATCCACCTAGCACTTGCAAACATATCTAACAGCTACAAATTAATGGATGAACGAATGAGTCACGATGAATGAGAGGCAAGGAATTAACAAAATGAATGGACAAATTGAACGAACCCAAGGAGGCACTGAGTGGGCTGCGGACATGGACATGAGCTCACGCGTCAACCCTGTGGGAAGCCGGGTTCCAGAGACGGTGGCACGGACCCACGATCCCACGCAGCCCGCCCAAGTTCTCGCTCACAGCGGCACGAGTCTCGGAGCGAGCGTCGGCTATTATTTCTCCTCCCGCTCGTTGTGTTGCGTTTTTTTACTTGACTCGAGTCTAAAACCTGGTGCATTTTCCACGTCGATGAACTTGTTATTCACAATCTCACAAAATGCCCCTAAGTTACTCCTTCTGTTGATTGCTTCCCCTCCCCTCCCCCATCGCCCCGCGTTTCTCTTGCGGCCAATGACCAAATCACCAGGAATAATAAATAAAATAGTTTTAGAAAGTGCCTTTTAACAAAAATACACAAAGCGCTTAACAATTACGCAGCAGTATGGCGGCCACAAGAGAGGTACGGATAAGAGAGAGATGTGTGGAGGCCGTGAAAAACATGGCGGTTGTGAGGAGGGAGAACTGAAAGGAATGGGGGGGGAAAAACTAAGATTTGTCTTGCGTTCACGCCCCTCGTTGCATTTCTGGGCTCTCACTTGCACTCACCCACCGTGGTCGTAACGGACGTGACAGGATGCCATCGTGCACGGGTGACCTCCACGCAACGCCAGGTTGTCATCGGCCGCTGTGAGGCTGTACTACGTGGCGGGCAGCAGAGAGCTGCGTGGGAAAATCCATTGCTGAATTGAACTTCACTGCTTCCCACCTTCATAAAACGTGCATTGACTATTATTGATTTGCTGATTGATCTATTGATTGACTTACCAAACTAAACGACCAATTGCATGACCAAGGAACTGCGTGCACTGCACGTACCGCTCCACAGATGAAATGACAAGTTTCACAGCCAGTGCTCGGGACAGACAGCTCAGCACGCAGCGTAGCGGTTGAAGCTATCTTTTCACGCAGATGGTGCAACTGAATCGGAGAACATGGGCTGGAGGGGCACAGGTGCTGGGCTACCAAGAGGGAGAAAAGCAGGTGGCGAGTGCTGGAGAGGGGCCCCACTCCCCCCCTCCCCCCCCCCCCCCCCGTTTCATTCCTTGCAACAGGACTCAATGCAAAGGTCGCGCTGGTTCAACCTTTCGGCGCAGCGGTTGAAATAACGGCACAAGTTTCTAAAGTCTCCCCTTGGAAACCTCCGCCCGGCCAGCATCAGCGTGAACGGCTTCACCGCAGTTAGTCGATCAGCAGGTAGCGTTTGGCGCGATAGAATGTGGGGGTTACTCGCACCTATTCCAAAACCGCCTGACTAGCTGCACAAAGTAGGCCAAATACCCTCAAGATGGGTTCTCTCTCGGGCTTACTCGAGTTGAGGCACCATCTGCCAGCACTGGCGTGGACCCACACCAATCAACAAACAGCCCTGGCACAAGTGGCTCTTTAAACACAAGAAACCACGACAATAACGACACGCATTTTGCATCGCACAACAAAACGCCTCAGAGAACGTGGCTTTATTTCTGCCCGTGGGACCCCCACCCCACCCCCGATGAAAGCTGTGTCCCGTGAAACGCGTTCCCATTGAAAAGAAGGAGGGGGGGGGGGGGGAGCGCCATACCGTTTGTCCCAGCAGCAGCGGCGCCCTCAGGAGGTCCCACTCGGCTGGTGAGGGCAGCAGGCAGCGCAGCACGGCAGGCACCGGGTGGGCGGTGGGCAGCCCCGACGTCAGCGCGACGTCCACCAGCGAGCAGACGGCGGCACCCAGCACGTCCAGGCTGGGGGACAAAGCTCTTTTGTCACAGATGTTCAGGAGGGCACGGGGTGAGAAATGAGTTTGTTTGTTATTTTACCAGGTAAAGCCCACTGAGCTATTGGCTTCTTTTTGCAGAAGCGACCTGGACACAAGGAATAGTTCAACCAAGTGGTTTATCACGTGGAAATTTAGAGCAGACAAATAACTCGCAGGCACCGGGGATATTCAGAGAGGCACGTGCAGACGCACGCACAAACGTTCGGAACACAATCACAAAAAAATTGGTTTTGTACCTTGGTAAAAACTGTTCTTTTGATGGTTGGTGTCGCTAAGAGATACACAATATATTTTCAGTAATGTGTTACGTAACAATGATAATGGCCTTTATTTATCCATTACAGCCTCACTCTTGAGTTTCAAGGACTTTTTTTTTTCGGTTGGGCACTAACATTGAGATTTTTGGCTCATTCCATGAAGGAGTGTTTTGCATCAGGGAGGAAACCAGAGTAACCACAGCAGATCACACATATGAGAGAGGACAACACTCAAAGCGCCGCACAAGTGGATTCAAGGATTTACTTTCTGTACCGCCATCTCTGGGCCACCTGGTGGGCCCAGTGCATTTGGGACTTTCACAAATAAATAAATAAGTAAAGCTGGCCCATCCACCCTCGCCTAGAAGGCGCCGAATACAGGCATTCACCAATACGCTTGGCTCTGACATGCATCTGCAATTACAGTAACCGTTCACTCGGTGAAGAGAACCTGAAATGTCCAAAATTGGAGATATTCTGGATGACAGGGAGGAGTTGTGCCACACACACACACACAATGGTTCCGACCATTTTTCGATTTAAATTTCGATTTCAAGCTTTCGTGACTGCAGGGATTCATCTTCTTAGTTCTTTCGGTAAAGTCACGTAGAAGGGAAATAATAAAATAATAAAATAAAAACATAATAAAATAATTCTCACGACGTTTCGGCCACAACGCAAGCAGCAATCCTCAGGTGAAGAACAGGTCTGTTGGAAAGACAGTATCTGAATGAAACACCACCAGGCTTGGAGCGTATATTTAAGCTGGGTTGGAGGGGAAGAGTGCCTTGACAAAAAACATTGCATATCAAGAGGAATTTAGCATATTTATGGGAAATGCAGATATGCGATTAGTACTACTTGTGAAATGCGTAGGAGGTTTGGCGGGGTGTTTTATTTTTATTATTTTATTATTTCCATTCTACGTGACTTTACCGAAAGAATCAAGAAGATGAATCTCTGCAGTCACGAAAGCTTTAAATCGATATTTTTATTTTGCCAGGTAAGGCCCACTGAACTATCCAGCTCTTTTTTCAGAAGCGACCTGGCCATAAATGATAGCTCAACAAAGTGGCTGATCATGTGTAAATGTATAAAAGCCAAATAACCTAAACGCATGTTTCTAAATATGGAAGGAGGAACAGGAGGACCCGGAAAAAAATCCACGCAACCACAGGGAGAACAATACAAATTACAAATATACACCAGGCGTCAGAGTAGAGATCGAACCCATTTGATTGTCATACTCAAAATAGAGTTTGACAATCTAATGTACGACTATTACTTGCAACAAATGAATTATTTATCAATGAAACCACAAATATATATATTTTTTCATATATACCATTTTGTAAAAAATATATTATTTAAAGCCTTTGTCAGTGCATCAGCAGAAAGCATCCCCACCCCACACCCGTTGTGGTTCAAGGGGGTTGGTTGACCACACATTGCTCAGTCAGAGCACAGGGCCCAGCACTGGTTCATCGCGCAATATGCTAACCAGAGCACCCAGCACCCCAACACTACCCGCGGTTTTAGAATTATGTTTTGTTAAAAAGACTCATAAATCTGAGGCCGCAGGCATAATCGTACACCATTGCACACACTGCCTCATCATGTAGGTTGTGTAGGTTGTTTTTCCTTTCCTCCCCAGCCCCCCCCCCCCGCTCCAAAAGAAATTTGCGTATTAACAACAGCGAGTGGGAAAAATACAGATTCAAAAAGCAACACCTGGCATGGTTCACCAGACTTCAGAGAAGCCATCTCGGTGAAAAACCAACTGCACAACATTGCCGTTGTCTGCCACGATCCGACACGCGTATATCTATATCGACTCGTGCCGTTTGAACCTGTTTCTGTTTTGAATCTACGTGTATTTTGAGTTCGGGATTACTGAATGGCTGCCAAGTGATTACAAATGCTCCCCAACGGCAATGCCAGTTATGTTTGAGTGCCTGGTCAACACCCAACGGCTGTAACAAATACAACCCCCGACTCTCCCGTTAAATGCGCGCATTAAGGGCACCGAAAGTTCACTGCGAGGCGCGTAAAAAGACGTTGCTCTAGCTGACAGAGGGTTGTGATGCGATTATAGGGCGCAGACTTTAACCTGAATTCGCTCACCGCCGTGCCAGCATTGCACGCGGTCGCACAGACGGCACACGCTGCTTGACGCCTGGAAACTGTCCAAAAGCAAAGTGACAACCCACGAAGGTTGTTGTGATAGAATCGAAAACATGACTCTTAAATGGGCTGCAGTCAAGCACACTTTATGATGTTACTGACTTTGGGGCTGACTGGAAATGACGAGGAACAAACTGACACGGCCAAACAAACTAAACAAGCTTGAAAATAGGGGTGCAGGTGATTTTCACGGAGCTTGTTTTTCCAAGTGGATATGTTATGACCAACTGCAATGCGACTGTGTCATCCCTCCTAATGAGATGAAACGTCGAACGGGATTTTTCGTTACGGCAGGCAGATCCTCACGTTGAGTTAACGAACTGCCCCAGACGATGTCTCCAATTCAGCCGCTTCTCGAATCGCTTCAAACGCCTCTCTTGCTCATCACTAGACAACAGTCCTTCGCTCTCAGATACATCCGACAACTCTGACCCTCAGAACTGCAGGGGGATTAAGCGGCTGCAGCCTCCATCAAAATTATTGCAAACGCAACACTGTAGCACTATGATAAATACCACAGGTAATGTGGCCATGAAAGCCATAGAATCACTCTGTGTATGACTACCAGTTATGTGCCAAAATTGTAATAGTTTTGTTATTTTGAGCTTTGATTTAGCTTTACAATTGCTATTTCACATTTTTTAAATGCCAGTGAAATAACCAAGGTGTATAACAGTGGAGCATCTGGCATGGGTGGCGGTAATACGGTAAAGGGAAGGAATTGAATTTCCAAAGAAGGGCCCCGCCAGAACTATAACAGCCCTGGGCCCCCATCAAACTTAATCCAGCCCTGGGAATCAAGGGTGACAGTTCGTCAAATTGCTGCACCTAAACATTCCATCGCAAACCCTTCAGGGATTAAATTTAAAAAATGTGACCGGTGAATCTTTTGCTTTTGATTTAGACGCTGAAACTGCACGTACACATCGGGGCCTACCATGACCACCCCTACGCCCACATCTTGCTGATCGTACCAAAACTCGGCTTTGATAAGCAAATAACTGCAAGTAAGCAGCAGGAGAAAATGTATTTACACAACCCCACGACTTGTCAGTAGTAATTGGTGTAAACAGTTGCCTGCTCCCTGCGGCTAAGCTACGTCATGTGCCAAGCACGCGATGGCTCTGGGCAGGTACGATGATAATATAATGACGGCATCGTGCCCACACAATCACTCCGAGGGTGCGTGTGTGTGTGTGCACAAGTGTGTATGTGGGGCTGCGATGGCTGGGTCATTTAGCCCGCATGCCCAGCCACCGCATTCTTAAACAGCTTTTGTTCGGCCGGATAGAGGGGGCTAAAAGGACGCGGCACGGGCTAGAGAAGAGATGGAGTGATATGGTACAGGAGGATGTGGAGCTGAGTGGACTTGCCGATGACTGGTACCAGCGGTGTCAAGATCGGCCTCTGTGAAGGAGGCTCGTGAAGGACGCTGCTACTGGGCAGTTAGAGGCCGTCGCCCTCCAACAACAACGGAGGGCAGAGGAGCGATGCTCACAACAACGAGCGGAGCGCCGGGTGGCTAAAGCACAGCAAGTCAGTACAGTAGGGGGCAAAGGTGGTGCATCAGCCAGTCATCTCAGTCAGTCGACCGGTGGCACCTGGGTCTGTCCCGTGACCTCCTGCCAGCGGGCGTTCGACACTTCACATGGCCTCAATGTGCACATAGCCTGGCACATGAGTCGTGGAGATGTCACCGCCACTTAGTGGCGAATGGCGGTTGTTGTTGTTGTTATGTGGGTATATATATATATATATGGTAGTACACAGGGGAGCACAGGTGGTGCAAACTGCCAGTCATCTCAGTCAGTTAACACACAACAGCTGGATTGGTCCCGTGACCTCATGCCAGCAAGTATTTGGCACTTCATGTGGCCTCAACATGCACATAGCCTGGCACGACTGCTGCGGTGACGTCACCTTCACTCAGGTGCGAATGGCAGCTGTTGTTTTTATATATATGGGGAGCGGTGGCGCAGTGGTTCACGCCATGTGCTATATGAATCAGGAAACACTGGTTAGATTCCCGGCTTTGGCTGACATAAACAGCTAATGTTATATGAACTGGTCCTAGGCCTCCACGAGGTTTACTCAGCCTTAACTAGTAACCTGTAAAACAGCAGCGGTAGGGGGAGGAAGGCGCACTTGCCTCAACAGCCAGTTAGAGGCTATACAGGGGTATCTTTGTGTGTGTACGAGTGTGTGTCTGTGCGAGTGTGTGTCCATGCGTGTGTGTGCGCATCTCCCAGTTGTCTCGGTCAGCCGGCCTCATGGCGCCCGGGTCTGTCCCGAGGCCTCCAGTCGGTGAGCCTTCGACACTTCACGTGGCCTCAAAGTGCACCTGTCCTGGCACAGGCGCCGTGGTGACGTCACCGTCACTTTGTGGCGGGTATTGGTGTGTGTGCGCTAGTCTAGCGGTTAGCGCGCTGCGCGATGAATCCGGTGACCCGGGATCGATTTCTGCTTCTGTACCACCACCAGTGACGATTAAGTCAACCGGTCCTGGGCCTGCTCTAGATCGACTCAGCCTCAAATGAGTACCTTGCGCAGTGTGCAAACATCGCCACTCGGGAGACAATGGCGGCCGGGATTGGTGCCGACCTCCCACGCCCTCGTGTACCGTACCAGCCTTCATAGGCTCTCTCGAACAGCACTTGCCTCAACAGCCTGTTATAGGGGCTATACAGGGAATCTTTGTCTTTGTTTGCGCATATGTGCGGCGGGGCATTCTCTCGCGGCTTTGAACGCAGCTCGTCTGTGCTCGTCTTGCCGTGGCCTGTGACCATGCGACCTTCGAACCCCCAGTCAAATCAGGTCTCGGCCTAAAGCCGAGGGGCACAGCGGCGGGACGGGGGGGGGGGGGGACCGCCGATGGTTTGAGTTCAAACAGGGCCCCAGCTCGGTGCTGGAGGGCAGTGCGCTCTGGGATGCGCCGACCGACCTTCGGATAAGACGTCAAGTCGACATTCTATTTGCTCCGCGGATGGAGCCCCGAGTCTCCCGTGGCACTCTTCAATCAGACGCTTCGACTCCAGTGTCCTGGCAGCGATCCCACGACGGGTCAGAAAAACACGTCTGGCCTGGTCAAATTACCCACCGCTTGGATGCTGCCCAAATATCAAGACTTCCCCTGTGTGGGCTGGACATCTCTAACAAAGAGACGTATGGTTCTCAGCGGAGTTACCCTGCATAAATATGTCCTAAACTAAACAACTTATGCAAAGTCACGTTAATGTTTTATTCTCAAACTTAGCAGTAATTCTGGATTTTTCGTTGACGTCTTCACAGTACTTTACAGTGAGGAGTTTAGTTTTTTTGTGCCGTAAAAATATGTACCTTGCAGGGCTGATTTGTTTTCCCATGATCCTTTCCTTCACCCACAATGCCGTGCTGTGGAGAAAGCCGCCCTCCTTCATGTAGCCTCCCTGTTGCGTGAGCAGGGCCGTGAGACCGGCCTTCCATGTGCTGCTCAGCTTCTCTCTCAGCTCATCTGCGCAGGGTAAAAAAAACAAATTCAACCACTTTTATTGTCTTGTACAAATATTAACTTGAAAAATGGGCCAGCAAAACATTTTACAAAAAACAGGAACTAAAAGGGCACAAGTAGTAACACTCGGCTCTTCATAATTTTTTTATGATTAAATCCACCCGTATCATAAAGCTCCATAAAAAGTTAAACATCGTGTTGATGTTTATTCTGGCACGATCTTATGTTTATCACGTACACTACATTTGTAACACGCTGGTATGCACGGTTAAGGAAGATTGGGGCATTAGTCGTGTTTACACGTATGAAAATAAACCAGTTCAGCACAACCGTTCACAACACAATGTTTCCAAAAATAAACCACCCAGTTTAGGTGGTTCAAATACATAAATCACTGTATCTCGTTGTGCACGAGTGGGTGGATCGGTTAGCATTATTCTGCTGAATCGGTTTATTTTTATGCAGGTCAAGAGGTTGCGTGTAGAGTATCGGCAACACATTTTTGTCAGGGGGAATCCACAATGGGCAGATGCAGCGACTGGGCCAGTACCTATATAACCGCGGTTGTTATTCGATGTGTTATTTATCGGTAACCGCTAAAGGAATCGAACGTGGACGTCACATGTCAAGCAATCGATGATCGAATCTGGTAAAGTTTAAGCAACGATCGAACCAATTGGCAAGTGCAAACGTTCGAGAAGGAACCAATGTGATTGGTCACGTCACAACCCATGATATACTACAAAATATATATATACTTTTGAAAGTTACAGCCCTTCGTCAGTTACAGCTAGATGAATGCTTCACCATGCCGTGTCGGTCACGGGAGTTGTTAGACCAAACTTCCCCACGCTAATGAGAGTGGGTGGTTTTATTAATCATTGTTTTGCATGTCATTATCAATATTGCTGAAAAAGAAACTGAAACCTTGAAATTAACCCTACATACCACCCAGACAGACAATGCACAGTGTGTTATACAGTCACGACATCCGTCCCACACACACTTCCAAATAGAATCACACAAGGTCTCAACAGAGCCAACGACCGCAGAAAAAAGTTCAATCAATAACACAATTCGCAAAAACAACGTTTACTGGGCCCCCACAGCACAGGAAATCCCTTCCGTTCACGTGGAAAAACGAGAGCAAGTTGCGGCGATCGCCGCCCGTGAACATTTTGGGAAAAGCTCAATATGGCAGGAGCAGTGGGGATGTGTGGGCTCCGGACAGGAACTTGCCAGGGAGGTGACGGGTAGCACAGGAATGTTCCCAGCAGTATGGCACGCGTAAAAATCGAGGGTTAAAAAATAAATCAGTTCAGCTCGATGTGTATTTTTAGCCCTCGACTTTCGATCTGGGACACTAATTTCGAAAAAATGTTTCAAAACGAGCCAGCCACGGGAACATTATTATTTAATAGGCCTACGCCCTCCGGGAGCCGAGGTCTCATCTGCTTGTTTGTGGACATTAATGAGAAACAAAAACTCCCACGGCACGCAGCGGTCCGGTGTCGTCGCTAAATCTGCCAACAATTTGGTCGTTGCTCCTCAAAACAACCGAACGGAGAGAGGGATGCTCTCACAATCATCTCAGCGCTCGGCTAATGATCGTCAACTCTCGGCGGGCATGACGGCTATGCATTAGAATTGCCACCTGTCCTGGTTTTCCCAGGATCGTCTTTCTTTTTGAGGCAGCTGATCTGGCAAAACCAGTACATGGCTTTTGTCAGTTAAGTAATATTACACCCACCCCACGGACAATGCATCACACGTATTTCTCCAATCTTCCGGTATTGCAAATAATTATTTTTCTTCTTCCTGTGACACGTCCAAATTTTTTGTTGTACCGGAGAGGTGGCAACCCAAGCCATTATCACCGCCACCGGGCGGTCCAAGAGACCGACCGCCTTATTTGGGCGCTTCCTGGCCATGACGATTAGAGGCAGGCGGGGCCGCATCATTTTGTGATTTCGCGGAAGAGGGGGCGGGGTGACCTGACCAAAACCACATGGCGGAGGAAGGTTGTGTCGTCAGCCACGTGACGCCGTGTTGGCCGCAAGGTGGTTGCGGCCTACGGGTGGAGGTTTTAAGGTTTTAGACAGCTGCGGCTGAGATTCTGGCAGAGGCCCCAACGCATGGCACGACCAACTCCACGGTGTCCCACGCAACCCGCAAACGAACTCCCTTTCCAGAATCTGTCTCGCTCTCGCGCCTTCCGGACCTAACCTTGGATTGTCGACGCAGCCCCAAAATATGAAGAGCGAGCGACCGCGGCGATGACGCATCGTGATTGCAAGAAGCCACTGGAGCTATGCACTTTTAAATCTGGAATAAAAACTCATTTCTTTAAAACTGCTTATCGTGTTTGTTGTTCTCCCCCCTCGCCTCTAATTTGTTCAGCTGGCGACGTACGGTGCGAAAGAAGTCCAACATACATACATTGTTTGCGTTTCCCTTACTCACGTTTCGGTTTTACTAAACGATGATTATGATGATGACCCACAAATGAGTGCATTCATACTTGCAGGGGAATTGGCCATATTAACCAATAAATGAAATATTACGTAGCATTTGTACACAGTAAACAGTTGTTATGAAAGATATAAAATATATATATCCAGTAATGCAGAAGAAGTAAACGATAGCGGACTGTTTTACTAGTTACGTAAAACCTAAATTTTAAGTTAAATGTAAAAAGGGTGTCACGTTTTTTTTTCAATCAGCCCCCCATTCATTTTGCCACCGCCACTTCCGCCACCGCCGCCACATGAATCCCAAGCGCCTCGTATTCGCGGGCGGCTCGGGCAAACGAGACGCCATGTCTACATCGCGAAGCATGGGCTACTGTGACGTCTCTGGGTGAAGCCGTCAAGTGTGTGTGTCGGCGGAACGCACAACTCCATAAAGACGTCAAAATGGTTCTCCCACGTGTCCACGATGCCACGGCCACCACCACCGCCGCTGTGCGCTGCATTCCAAGGAACCGTTTTAAACCCGCCGCTGCTGCTGCTTTCCCAGCGAGGCACAGGGTTGGTTTATAATTAAAACAAGCCTCTGTCTTTTTAACGAGTCGACGCTATCTTTAGCCCAAGTCCCAAACTTAGCGCGCGTCCCCATCGAAAAATTGCGATCCAGTATTGAAAGAAATTTCGAACACGCTGTGCTATCATCGACATGAATCCTGTCTTTAAATCATGGTCCGACATATAAGATGGGTCCTGTCTTTACCATGCATCCCTTTGGTAGACACTGAACATGTGTTTAAAATGGATCCTATCTTTAACACCGTCTTCAAAAATGGCCCTCGACTTAATACGGGTCTATAATTGACTGAGCCCATGTTCAACAATGACCCGATCTCTAACTTGGTCGATATATTTAACACGGGCAACATTTTGCAACAGTGACAATGACCCTCGAGTGATATGTTTGGTGATGAACGCTGCTGAACATCCGTGTTATAAACATCGCTCATGAGAAATACCGTTTTGTAACGCACACAAACCATACATCACTTCTTTACTTGTTACGGCTAGACATTTCCACGAGGCAATGTCCGAGCGAGCAGTGCACCATGTCGTGTCGGAGAACGGCCCCAGGAATAAGACATCGCAGAACTACTTCTGAGGTCACTATTTATTCAGATTAGGGGCATGCCTGCTACACACGTCAATCAAAGCAAAACACACTGCATGAGAATAACTCCAATTCATACAAAAACATTGAATATTATGTTTTTTTTGGGTGCAATCAATCCTGAGTGGGCTGAGACCATTGATGCACTATACTCTGGGCAGCATTAAGTTTGATGGGAGCTCAGGGACTTTCTAGTTTAAGGGCCCCTTCTGTGAACTAAATTCCTTGCCTCGACTGTTTTAAAGCCACCCATGCCCCGTAACAAAAGGCCCCCACTGCTATTCGCTTTGTTGATTTCAGTTCCAGTTGTTAAATGTGATGTACAAACTTTGAAGCAAAATCAAAGTCCAAACGCACAAAACGATTTCAGTATCGGCGATGCTATGGCTTCAACGACCAAATTACCCGTGGGATTTATCATATCACTACGACAGTGTTGCGTGTTTCAATCATTGTAAAGCAGTTCATATATTGGGGGGGAAGGAGGAAGGGGGGCACTTCAGAGTGCAGGCTGCAGCCCCTAAAGCCCTGGCATGAACCCAGCCACGCTGGACTCAACGTGGACATTCGTCTTGTTGGTTCTTTCGGTAAAGTCACGTAGAATGGAAATAATAAAATAATAAAAATTAAACATAATAAAATAATTCTCACGACGTTTCGGCCACAACGCAAGCAGCCGTCCTCAGGTGAAGAACAGGTCTGTCGAGAAGACAGAGTCTGAACTGAAGTCTGAACTCTGTCTTCCCTCCACGTAGCCTTGACTACATTCGTGTGTCACTTAACATACCATCGTGTAAATTCGAGTGGCGTTCAACGTAGCCTTGTGTACATGCATGCCTCCATTAACGCAGCCCCATGGACACGCGTGTTCACTTCACGTAACCTCACACGTGTTCGCGTGTAACTTCACGTAGCCTGGTGTGAATTCACACTTCACTTAACATAACCTCGTGTACACTCGTGTTTCGCTTCACGTAGCCTCGCGCAGCTCTGTGCGCTAGAGCGAAAGGAATCGTCACCTAGCGATGGCAAAGACAGGCGGTTGCAATTTAATTGGTTAAAAGGTAACCACTTAACAAAAAACTACCTTTGCAAAAATCACCTGCGCATGTCATGTGATTTCCTTCTAATTCACGGTCAGTTCCAGTCGGCATTAACGCAAAGTGTGCTTCACTGTTAACGTAAAGAAATTTTAAAAAAATTCTAGAGATAACTGGTAGTAATGTGCATCGTGATGCTATGGCTTTAACGACTAAATGAAACCATATAATGTATCACAGTGCCGCAGTATTGAGTTTCAATCGTAACAAAGCACTGTATTTTTTATTATTTGGGGGGGGGACCCTAAAATACCAGGGCCTAGGCTG